CTGCTCATCCGTTTTCAAGAAAGACGAATTCAAAACTGGAATTAGTGCAGAGGGCTGCTAAGACCGCCATGAGACAGCTGTTCTTGTTCAGCCTAGCAAAACGGAGCCTGAGAGTCTTAACGTAACAAGTTGGTATACAGCCAGGAGAGAGCACAGCTAAAGGACAATGCTGGCACAAGGTAGAAATGAGTAAATAGTGCCTTGAAATACATTTAAATGGGAAATCAAAGGAAGCCTTCTAAGAAGCAGAAGGGGTCTTTTCTTGAAAGATTTTTAGTAGCAATAACAGGAACAAAAAGATGGAGTTGGTTAAAACTGAAATTTATGAAAGAGATTGTATGAGGTGACCACCTGCATCAGCAGAAAAGAGAAACTAGTGTCAAAACTAGAGTCAAAAGACATTCTCTTCTCCTGTATTAGTCAAAACAAAGCTCTCTGCATAGTCTGGAAAAAGAAAAACTCATGATTCTCAGAACAGTTTCATTTTGCAGACTTATCCTGCAAAGGATACCAAATCGCGTGTTATTTTTAACTTCCATTTTACATAGCGTTACTCCAGTGAGTTATGCTAGTCTCCCAGAAGGAGAGTACTTTGAAATTGATCTAGTTTACATGCTCGAGTTGCAGCTGTATTGGTTCGCTGTTTGTAAGCTAGCTTTGTATCAGTACTCTAGCCGTAGAAACAAGAATTTCAGTACTGTATGACAAAATCCAGGGGTTGAAAAACTTAGGCCTTCAATTCCTTAGAAATTCGTAAGAGTAAAGAAAAAAATGCATGTATTGTACAACCTACTTGTGTATAGCTTCTGAAACTATGTCCAGGATTTTCATAGCTATTCGTAATTACCATTTGTTCCACAGTTCTTAAAAGATCCCACGTTTAGCTTCCAAAATAAGTCATCTAATTTCCCAGTGAATATGGCACGCTGGAATCTCTCTGAAACTCTTTGAGACTTGAAGAGTCCCCATGAGAGCTGCTGCATGCTGAGTATTTTTGTAATCCTGGCCATCATTTAGGTATTTACACGAGAACACAGATTTCTTGAAAGTCTGGCCCCGATCACAGTTTCTGGGAACAAGAAAATCTGGTCTCAAACTGAGCTTCCTTGAAAATCTGGCCTTTAGAAAATGTATTCTAAACATAAACATATTACTGAACCAAATGCTTTATGAGACATTAACATTTGCTTTGCTTTCCTTTTAAAAGAGTACTTTATAGGCAGATTGCTTTTACAGCAGATGTCTTAATCAAGGCAGCAGTGAATAAAATATATTCCGATCTGATGGTCTTTTGGAGACCTTTTGTTTAGGTCCAGTTCCTGAGGAACAGTTGTCTACATTAAGCAAAACAGCAGCAATAAAAATACATTGCAGCTGGTACTGAGGTACCATGGAGATGGGCTTGAACAAATAGATGGCCTGAACTGATTCAGATGGCTCCTTGATTTGGCAGTCACAGCTGAGATGCCAAAGAAAGAACAGGCATGAAGACCAAGGGCCCATATTCATGCAGAATCCTGTTAGGGAGGTACAATTACAGCATAATTATATCTTGAGCCATTTACAGACATCCGACCATCCCAGTCACTGTTTGTTCAAGAGCATGCTGCTGTTGCCATTATTATTATCAGTTATTCGTATTACTGCAGTGCTTATCTGTATACCAGAAATGTATTGTACAGTGTCTTACATAAACACAGAACAACACAAAATATGTTCCAGTGGACTTGCAGTCTGTGAGAGCACACTGCAGTTAGGTGCTGAAAAAGAAGAGGAGACCAGCCCAGGATAAGCACGATGCCAGCCGCCTAAAAATTGTCGGGTTTGGCATCATAGCGGAGGGGAATTTGAAGGAAGATAGGTAGCTTTGCGACTGCTAGGAGGGAGCTCCTTCCAGGCGTGAGGGGCAGCAAAGGAAAAGCAGTGAAAAGTTATCTGCTTCAAACACGGCTTGCAGGCACCAAAAGCTGGTATAATGGGCTGGTCAGATGGGAAATGGGAACCATTAACTTTAGGAGTAAATGAGAAACAGCAGCTTGGGCAAGATCAGACTGTGTGCGCACTAGACATTGAGGGTTATCAGTTCGTATATGATGAGATAAAAAAAGATGGAACTGGCAAAGGGACACCAAGAGGGATGACGTGGTCGTAGCAAACACCTTTGCCACAGCTTCGCTTATAGATATGGGTGAGAAAAGATTCAACAGTCAAGGCCAAAAAAGGGCATTTAGATAATCAAGATGCAATCAAGATTCAGTGAGAGCTGTAACTATACGAGCAGACAGAAAATGTGGGTCTCGGTGCTGCTGTGCAGAAGGATTCTGCCAAACTGGGATATGATGTACATAACAGTACATCCTATCAGAAAGAGTTAAAGTTGATATCTAAGTGATGGCAAAGTACATCTGTTAAAATTGCTATTATAATAAATCGCTAGTTTTAATCAACAACTGAAATCTGCAAGCAAGAACCTTGATTAAAACTTTCTGTTCTATTTTTGTTTTTCCTTTACAGTTTTTAATTATTTTTCTAAAGAAAAGTTGAAAATCGTTCACTGGCAGTCGTTAAGATGTGTTTATTTCCAGCTGAGTTAAGCTTTGACCTTAGATGTTTGTGCTTTTTTGACTAATTTGGAATGTAAATTTTACTATACTTACCATTCAGTCATTTTGGTAGTTTAAAGTAAATTATTTGAGATTTTAAGTGATTGCATTGTATTACTTTAGAACACGTTGTATGGTGTATTTCTTTTTACTAGAGTATTATTCTCTTTTTAACACTTACTTTGTATTAATATGACTGGAAGCAGAAGTCAGTGATGGTGTACAGCAACTTTTCTTAAATTGTTTCCTATTAATAACTAAAACTTTAGCATGCTGGACTCGTGAAGAAAAAAAATGTATCAAAGAATGGCTTACAGGTAAAAACTCTTCCTGATGATCATGTCCTTCAAGATCTTCAAAAGACAAAATCCTCTCTTGCTATGTTTAGCAGAATTAAAATTTTAAAATTCCCTGCTTTTTCAGAATATAATCATTTATTAACTTTGAATGAAGGTAGGTATATTTTCACAACAAGATACTTTTTGCTGTAAAAGAAGAAAGCAAAATGTAAGAAATGTATTTCTTTCTTCTTCAAAGTCTTTCTCTGGTCCAGAAGAAAGAGGTAGGAGAACAAAGAGATAGTCCAAGAACTGGTGCTTGAAATAATCTGTTTGATAACTGTAAAGGTTGCCATACAATAGTTCTTGCACAGTATTAGCAAAAACGTGCTAGTCTGTAATGTGATAATAAGGGCTGGAAATAAAGGAGGAAGATAGAGTTAGTGTTAAGAGTTAGTGTTAATTCCTTCAGTTCATGAAGAGAGTTATGTGTGCATGTTGCTTTTAATAACTGCAGGTGATGCATTAGATTCATGTTAACCAGCCTTAAACTAGAAGCTGAAGAGGCTTTTTTTTCTGACATAAAGATTGAAAAGGCTTTATTTCTGAGATAAAGATTGTCATTGTTGTCCAGTACATTTTGTTTTTCGTCTACTAGTCTTAAAACGAAAAGATGCTGCTTATCTCTTGGGAATCTTTTACATAGGGAGGAATAGAGCAGAAAAAAGGCAGGAGATTCAGGAATGGCCATTTAACGTATATAAGAGGAGGTGATAATATGACATAATGTAAGAAGTGAATTGGTTTCCTCTTCAGTGATAAAAGATGTATTTTTAGAAGTACTTTCAATATATCCTTGGCTCCTTTCTCTTCTCCAAGCACCATAGTTTTTACTAACAGGCGAGTAAAACCCTAATGATTTTGACAGTATGCTCGTGTTTTTATAAAACATTTTTTCTAAAAGATTTGGAAAGGTTATTTTGAGACTGAATGGGCACAGAGTTGGTATGATGGAATAAAGATTTCCATCTGGCTACCAGCTAGAGTCGAACAACCATAGAGATTATGTTGCAAAATTTTATGTTGACTATAAATTGTTTATCTAGACTATCATTGCAGTTTGCATCAGGAGTGCGCTTTCACAATGAATCTCCTGATCACCCCCACTTACGCTGCTTTGGTTTGCTGTGTACGAACTAGATTCCTTTTGGATGAAACCAAACCAAAAGATGCATTCAGTAACTCAATGAATGTGCTCCCACTGCTAATGGCATATAGTCTACAAGCCTAGTCTAGAACTAATCCAAAGTCAAATCTCCTGAAACGTGCAGAGTGTGGACGTTGAGTCCTCCGTGCCACCTGTTTCACTCTACACACCAAGTGCTATTGCGCTGCATAACACTATATGCTGAGGTAGACTTAGTAAAAAATCTCCATCGACTAAGGAATTATTGATTATTGAAACTGCAGTCTTGCGACAGAACCCGAAGAGCTTGCAGGAGGGAAGAGCAATCCCAAGGCAAATGGCATTCTATCTAATTTAACGTCATCTCTTTCTGAAGAGTAGAAATACCCTGGGGAAGATACCCAAAATAAAGTTACTGTTTCTATGAGCAAGCAGACTGCAGCTTCGGAGAATGGGTGGCTGTAGGGGAAAATTCCAGCTACGTAGCCATGTTTGAACCTCTGCCTGAGAGAATGGCCCTGTTCACATTCACATTCACATGAATCTGAGTTTTGTAGCCTGTTGATCTCAGAGAATTGGAAGGAACCCAAGGGAACTTGTTAGAGAAGTAGATGGCACTTCTCATGCTTAGTTTGCAGCTGGCGCTCTGGTTTTTGCTACTGAAAGTTAAGGATGATGCTTAGAACGCTAGAAGAGGTGGGACCGAGAGGCATGCAGGGCAAAAATGCATCATCTTGCAGGAGAAGGACTTGAATTGAGACAGGCAGTAACATTTTCCTGAAGTAATACTTCAGTATGAGGCAGAAGCTGAGGAAGTCCCTGCTGATTCCCAAGAGCTCAAGCAGCAAAAAGTTGTCGCTGTTGTCAAGCTTGCTGTTGAATGTATGTGGCATATGTCTGTCAGTTGGCTTCTGTTCACTTTCTTATCCGTAGAGAGCACTACTGATCACTGCCCAGAAATACCGGCATCCCATGCTCCACCGCTACCCAGGCCTAAGCCTAAAACTAAAAAAGCTCTGCTGCCACCAAAAAATGCTATTGCTGCTTCCACCACCACCAGCCATAAGAGTAATGAAGCACCTCATGCTAAAAAAAAGGGAAAGGCTCCTGCTAAGCAGCCTCCTCTCCCACCTCCCAAGCCAACAAGTCACAGTGCAAATCGAGATGCTGGTGAGTACTGCACAGGCAGTGCCCGTTATGGTTGGTGCATGTGCATGGGGGTGCTTGACTTGGTCTTATGATAACTTTTACTTTTGTAAATAACAGTGTACAAAAGAGCGTGCAACTGATGTGTTTTAATTCTCTCTCCATTGAGCTCTGGTTCTGCTGTCTGCAAACACCCTAAATAATGGACAGATCACTTGGCTATCTAAAAAAACGAACACACAAGACCAAGCACATTAGAGACTATATTGTATTCCCAGTTAAAGTGTAAATGCTGGCAATAAAATGCCCTAGAGAACTGTTGAAGAATCAGCAGGGAAAAAAAGGTGACTTCTAAAACCACACGTGTCTGGTTGCCCCAAAGTAAACCTGTTTTGGGGAGTGATATTGCTGTATGTTTCTGCTGGAAACATATACTCGTCCAGGAAATGCGACAAGATGTGCAAGATCTCGAAGAGGTGAAGGATAAAACTGTGAATGCATCTTTAAAGAATATGGAGTAGCTTTTGTTTTAGCTGCAGGAACAAATTATAACTCATTAGAAATGGCCAGGCTTCTGTGGGTTGACTGACGGCTCTCTATGATTCTAGACATGCACTGTAAATGGAAAATGTCCATCATCAGGTACGTAGCAAACATATTTATCACTACACTTTTCAACCAAAATTTAGCAATAATGCTAGATTAAGGAGATTATAGATAGCTATATTCAAGGTACTGATCTCCTCAAGTTTGAATGGTTATAATTTGGAAGATGACCAAAATGAGAACACTCAAATATAATTTAAACACAAGTGGTATTGTGATGAGTGGACCGCGCATATGCCTCGGCCAGCTTATACAAACCTTATGTTTTCAGTCCTCTTTCAGTCTTTCAGAGTCCTCAGTCCCTCCAGTTTTCTCTCCAACTATACTTCTTCATAGCTTGTACATTTTGGCAAGTTTTGTATTTGAAGCACACAGAAGAGGACTGTTTGAAAATATTACAGGACTGCTAAAGTTACAATAATAACTTTACCATAAAATGTCCATTAACTTTGGACCATTACATCATTACTACATCAGCAGACCACAAGAATAAACATTTTGAAAACCCAGAATTTGCTGCCTGTATTTCACATTAAGATGGAAAACTCAGTTATTCCAAGATGAGGGAACCATATAACAGTAAACCTTTTTGAAATAACCCCTTCTGATAAATAAAATGTTTAGGCCCATCGATGGAAACAAATTTGTAGGTATCTGAGTTGTTTAATTAAAATACATGTAAATTCCAGATTTGTGTTTTAGTAGCCTTGCTGAAATTTCATGGAATGCTTGAGACCATATGGGTGTAAAATATATCAATGTATCCTTTGTCTGAAATAGTACATATTCCAATAGTACTTTCTTTCAACGTTAAGTACGTCGTATTCATTTGAAAGAGGGCAATACTTAGTAAATGGAGCTGCTTGGAAAGCAGTAGTTAGTACAGGAGGTTTATCAGATCCCCATGAAAGTGAAGACCTGATGATCACAGCCAGTGATCCCATCCCATGAAGGAGGATAGGAATGTCAGTAACTGAACCATAGCTCTCATGAGGCATCACAGCAGGCTATTTCCACATTGAAACGGTAGATTTGGGAGCTCAAACAGAAACATGGACCTTTTCCGCAAGACAAATAATCATCACAAAAATTTTAATTTAATCAAAATTCTAATTTTCTGCTGAAAGAGAGATATGACAGAAAATTGTCAGCCAGCCCAGCCAAGAGCAGCAGTAACAATAGCTCTTTTGACCTAAGGGAAAGTGGGAGGAAATTTTCTCTAGGAAAATTCTTTCAGGTTTCTGTATCTGATGGCAAGTCCAAAAAGGTTCTGAGAGTAATGCAAGTTTTTTTTTTTTTTTTTTTTTTCCAATGGAAACATCTGACATTTTCCCAGCGATAATTATAGTGTGGCTGTATGTTTGTATCATGCTGGAGTTCTTAAGTCGAAGCATGTAACTGGTTTCGTTGACTATGAGCCCGTGCTTAAGTGCTTTGCTGGATCAGAACCAGACCCCTTTGTTAGTACCACTGTCCTACTCAGTAAGGTTTCTGCTAAATAATACACAGCTTGGAGCCACCGTTTATTTCCACTGCAATTATGGACGGCTGTCTGTAACGTTTGTTTGTTTCCTTTTGATTTGCTGATTTGTTAGTCAGTGATTTGTAGTTGATTGGTAAGATTAGTGCAGTATCAGTAGATTTTATATTGTGCCCTTTACAGTTAGCACAAAGAGGGATAATGATTTGCCTGAAGTCATGAGTTTCTACAGATTTTTCCAGATGTACTGAAAGCCACGCGGCACTCCAAATGTTTATAAACCATAACGTACTGCTACAGCAGAGAACAGTATAATGTAGCTTTTCTATTATTTTCCGTCTTTGAGATTGAGAACAGTCTTAACTGTGGAAGCTATTTTTATGTTATGAGCTTACTATGGCCAGTATCTGTATTTTGGTTCTATCCTACTCTGCTGGGGTTTTGTTTTAATTTAAATGCTTATAAGTAAAATAGGCCTTTCAGCAGATTTTGATTATAGCTTTCCATTTTACTCAGAAAGCTTAGCCGCAAGGCTGCTGTGTAACTTTTTAATGGTTTCATTCGTTCTCTTGAGGTTAATGTATTTTTACTATGGCAGAAGTGTTTGAGTGGGATATATTTTGATGAAAAAAAATGAATTGTAAAATGGCTGTTGTTTGTATTGCTTTCTAAATGAATGTCAGAAGCCTGAGCTCCCGGTCCAGATGATGGGTGCATCATCACAGCAATCAAAAATGTGACTGGAATGCACATGCATACCAAGCTAGTTAAAATCTGCTGCCAGACTCGGCAGTGATTATAGTAAAGGTGCAACCATATCTGCTTCAGCATGGTAAACATCAGAAGTAAAAAGCAGCATTACTGGCGAACTTGTACAGCTACTGTCAGAACCTCGTGTCACTATATTGTCGATTCTACTAGAGTTTGTCACAGGTTAGACAAACAGCTCCAGAACATATGGGAGGCCTTCAATACCTCTCCCCTTATAGAGTTCATTTGTGCAGAGCAAGGTCAGTGGATTCTACTTCCATTGAATTGATATGCCCAACTGGACTTGCAAGTCCGTTTTGTTTTGTTTTGTTATCGCTCTGCTTCCTACCCTTAACTGAGAGGACACCACCTGCAAGAATATTGCAAAATCACAGAATCACAGAACAGCTGGGTTTGGAAGGGACCTCTAGAGATCGTCTGGTCCAACCCCCTGCTCAAGCAGAGTCAGCTGGAGCAGGTTACTCAGGGCTGTGCCCAGTTGGATTTTGAGTATCTCCAAGGATGGAGATGCCACAACCTCTCTGAGCAACATGTTCAACTACCCTCACAGTGGAGAAGTGTTTTCTTATGGTCAGGTGGAATTTCTTGTGTTTCGGTTTGTGCCCGTTGCCTCTCATCCTGTCACTGAGCACCACTGAGAAGAGTCTGGCTCTATCTTCTTTATACTATCCCATCAGATATTTCTAAATGTCGATAACCCTGAGCCATCTCTTCTCCAGGCTCTCTCAGCCTCTCCTTGTGTGAGAGATGAGCCAGTCTTCGTGGCTCTTTGCTGGACTTGCTCTATTAAGTCCATATCTTTCTTGTGCAGGGGAGCCCAGCACTCTGCCTTAATGCTTGTTAAAATAGACTCCCATCCACTGGCATAATAGGAATTTAAGTGATGCAGGATCCCTAATCCTTGAAGGATACAGGTTGGAAGGGACCTCTGGAGATCACTTGAGCCAATTCCGGCCTCTAAATTCAAGATTCAGTTTCAAAGCTTTCTGCGCTGTCAGTGTAGAAAGGTAGAATCTTCTTGTAGAGTAGAAACCTAATTTGGGGGGTCTCTGATTTCCCCCTCAGGAAGCCCTCATACTTGCCCTGAGTCTCATAGAAAGTCAGGAAAACTCATGTGTCTAGGAGGTTAGCTCAGTTAGGAAGGCAGACAGTTTTCTCTATCTAGTGGCAAATTATTTAACCCTGGCAATAAACACTTTGAAGAAAATTGCATTTTTTAGATGATATCCGGACAAGTTTTAAGGGTGCTAGAGTACTAAAATCAAGTTTTCACTCCCCTCCACTGTTCCTGGGCAAGTATTCATCATTTCAGTTTTTCTGCCTCTAAAGCTGAAATTTGAACTGTAGTATTTACTTATCAAGTATATGGTGAAGGATTATGAAAGTACAAAGTGTAATTTTTTCATTTTTTGAAGTATCAGCACGCAAGTCAATTCAGGCAGAAATGGTGCAAAAAATGATGTAGCTGCAAGACTGTAAAATGCTTTTTCTTTTCATGTTTTAGCTAGTTCCTCTCATGCAAAAAAAACACCAGTCTCCAAGTCCTCTTCATCACCATCTCCTTCGTCCACATCATCTCATCCCAAAGCCTCTAAGGAGACTTCCAGCAAATCAGGCTCATCGGGGACCCCCAGGGGCAAGAAAAAACCTGGGAAACAGTCAGCCCCACGAACAGCACCAGATGGGGCTGCTTCTCCCCCTTCAGGTGCCACAGCCAACAGGTTGGAAGTGAAGGCAGAAAAATCTGAGTCTGAGCAACCTTCCATAGTAATTTCTGAAACGGAGGACATCACAGAGCAGCAGAGCAAGCTAGTTGTTCCCCCTCCTCCCACTGCTGCCCCTCCACCTCCTCCACCTCCACTTCCGCCTCCTTTTCCTGCTGCAGCCAGTCATTCCAGTGCCTCAGACACACAAGCTGTGTCAGACAGCTGTGGAGCAGGGCCATCTGTTGCTGGATCAGATTATAAACCTCTTCTCCAGACTGAACATGGCACAGATGAGAACCTGAGCAGTACAGCCCTAGACAGCAGTCCAGATGCTGGGGGAGAAGACACGGAAAGGTAAGGCTGTATTGCTGTCAGTGATGAGCAGTGATAAGCTCACTGCTAAGGAAGCCAGATTTCTAGTGTTACCTTGGTTTAAGGGATGCTAAAGGCACATGGGGATTGTTTATTTCTTTTGCTGGCTGGCCCTGAGAAGAAAATCTGTGTGCATTTCTTAGTGGATGAGGGCAGTGTTGCATCCCAGCACAGTCTGTTCCATGACAACATCTTTGTACCACTCACCTGTAATACCTAATGTTGCTCCAGAACGTCATTTGTCATAACCTGCCTCCTGCATGGTTGCCTGGCTTAATATGGCCGGTGCAGTCAACAGCTCAGCTAGGTAGCAGGTAACTCTCTTATTTCTCTTTCATAAAAGCAAACAAGAATTGATGCTGAATTACAAGGGTTTTACTTTTTTTGTGGAAATCCTTAAAAATCTCGCTACTAAAGCTCTCAATTCAATAGCTGGATTTACTTGCCACCTCTCAAATGACATTTCCAGGCTTTGGTTAGTAGATGTTTGGTTTTCTAAGTCTGACATACCATAAAATCAAGTAAAGAGCAAGGTCGTAATTACAAATTTTAAACAAAATAGTTGGCAGCAAAAAAAGCAACTAGCTTCTTCATCTGTCTGTTCCTTGCCACAAGAACCAGTATCTTTCAAAATGCCCCAAGAAGGTTTAGTCTAGATGCCAGTGGCCTGGAGAATCTCTCTTGAGTAGAGAAACTTACTGGTACGGGTGTGCTAGTATTACATTCCTGTGCTGGCTTCTTCTCCCCGTGCTCTACCCTTCATTTACATAAAGGATTTTCCCAAGGTAGAGGACACGTTGGTGCTAATTTCCACGTTCTTCAGTGATGGAAATGAACATTTTGGACTCAGCAGCAATCAAATTGTGTTTGCAACAGAGTCACACTCACAGGATAGGGAAGTTTGTACTTCCTTCCACTCTGAGACTCAGTCCTCTTACCTCCAGCATTATTAGCTGCTCTTCTGTTCTTACTAGCTGCTATGTACTGTTGGTCCCATCCCTCAAGAAATAAATAAGAACAGTGATTTCTTTACATAACCTTCGCAGCTCATCATTTCAGACTGTTTGCATCTTCCTAACATATACATACATATATATGCACGCATACATTATATATGTTATATATGTGCACATTATTATATATATTTATGTTTTGAGAGAGAGAGAAGTCAGTTTGAATAATAGGGCTTTTATTTCATATTTGCTTATACGGTTTGTCTCCCTTTTGTGTTCTGTGCTGCTTCCATTACTGTGACATCCTGTTTGCTTACGAATTAACAGTTTGGCTACCACAGAAGAAAAAGAGGAGGATGCACCTAACCAAACACATGCTGAACCAGGGGAGGAAGCTTCTGAAGCTGCTGCCACTCCTGAGAGTGAAAGTAGCAGAGAGAGCCACAGCAGCGACTCGGACTCTGATGGGCCCATACTCTACACAGATGATGATGATGATGACGACGATGATAATGGAAGTGCTGAAAGTAAGCCTCTGACAAGAGGGGTGTACCGGGAAGGGTTGGCTGCCTTAGACTATATCTAATATACCTGTTTGAGCGGGGCTGGGTCAGAAGTCCTGCTAAGCTGCTGTGGTTGCATCCAGGCTGATAACTGGAGCTCTGTAGTTGTGTGTCGTTTAAAGACACCTACACCCAGCCAGCTTTTGTGCAGCTGTTCTGAAGTTGTAGCCCGAGGGGAAGAGAAGACTTTGGGATGGGATTGCTAGTAAGCACATCACTCTGCAGGTGACTGCGTTCCAGGATTTGGTTTTACTGCAGGGCTTCCTGAGGTGCAGTTGCAGACTACCTATTGCACGTTGCAGTATGTGAGCATACCTGGCCCACGTTAGCGCAGGGTAAAGAGAAGGATACGGTTGCATGAGATAACTTTAGATGAATTAATATTTTACCACGACTGAGAAGTGAGTGTCCTGCTTCTCCCTTCCTAGACAATTGCGGTTAGAAACCGGCTGGGACGAATGCAATGGTGGGAGCAGATCAAGCACTGCGTGGGTGGGAGTAGAGGCTGCAGGAGCAGGTTCAAGAAAAAAGAGGATGGAACAAGGCCTCCACATTTGGGCGTCAGTGAGCTATTAATTCGGTTCATCCATGCTCGACCCTTAAAGCACCTCTGCTTTTACACGTTTGAACTGAATTGTGCTAGAGATTACAGGGTTTCTTGTGGGAGTGAGGTGAATGAGGAAGTTGTTTTGCAGCAGCTCTCCTCTGTCAGTTGAAATGGCTGAGCTCAGAGTCTCCCAGTCGCTTGGTGTCACGTAGCCACCATCCAGGCTGCAGGTTACGTTCCTCCAGGAGGACTAGCTCTCACTGCGCACCAATCCCAGCAACTTCTGTGAGCCCGTGCAGGAGCCCCAGGGCAAGGTTCAAGGGTGTAATAGTGTGAGCACAGGTTGTGGTGGACAACACAGGAAACCCATCAATCAGCTGCCGACTTCCCTGTCTGAAAGTCATTTGTTCCTTTTGATTAGAAAGCTTTAAGCATTATAGCACCTTTGCAGAAAGAGCAGATCGCAGGGGACTACATCAAAGCTTATAGTTTAGAAATTTCAGCTGCGTTCATGGCTGTGTCACCACCCTAATTTCGCAGACATCCTTGCTGCTGCTGGAGGGGGTTGTCCTGCCTAATTCCTGCTCCCAGCTATTCATTCTTCTCTTAGGCCATCACTCATGCTTATTTTTTTGATGGTGGCTGTTGCTGAGCTGGTTTTCAGCTGAAACTGTTCCCTGATCCACCTCCCCAGCAGCCGCACCAACACTAACACTGGAGCAAAGGAAGTGGCAGCAACAAGTAGTTATGGGGCAGAAAGAAGGGCAACTCTACCCCTACCACCTGCTGTGTGGCCTTATGCCAGAGTAAAATGAGAGTCGACCCATGGCTTGACAGTCTTGCCCACAGACATTCAGGAGGAAGTGGCTTACTGTGCTTAGGTAAGAAGGCTTGAACGCAAAAGTGCCGTGTCTGATTTCTGTACGCAGAAATGATGATGAGGGATGAGGGAGAATGAACATTTCATTCGTTTGGCCACTGGTCTGGCTGAAGATGAAGAGCCGTGTAGCTCAAGAGACTGAAGTCTTCTGCGGTTCTGCCTTTGGTTTGAATACGAACCGAAAATTAGTGTATTCAGACAGCTGCACAGCATCTTATGAAAAGTGAGTTCGGAGCCTCTGGTATTACCAAACTGTCTTACATCATAAAAAGCCTGCTCACGGAGAGCATATGCAGTACCCTCAGTCAGAATATCAAGAGACAAGGGAAGGACATACTTGCTTCCATAGCTGGCTGAAGGGAATGCTGGGAAAATTGGCTATTGTCTCCACTGTATCTGTTTTGTGGATAAACAGATTGCTTCAATGGCTGGGGGTTCCTGCCTGGAATATTTTACAAGCCCTAAGAGCACTTTCTAAAAGGTACCTTTTAATTTATGAATTAGTCAATGCTAAAGATGAAAAGTATTGCACAAGAACTAAGTGATGTTAACTTGAAAAAAAAAAGAAAAGAGAAGGCTTAAGGAAAAGATGAGAGAATGAGAATAAACCATATAAGGTTTAGGAGAAAAAGCAGTAGTTTACTAACAATGTAAAATAGGCGAATAAACCAACCTGTAATGTATCAGATTTCAAAGACACTTAAGCACAGATTTGTCACTTTTATCCTATGACAGCACAGATGACAAGCGATGCTTGTAAAACTACTCTGTAATTTTGGTTGCTAGCTTTTTCGTGTAGGTCTTTCAGCTTTTTATTGTTGTGAACTGAGCTGAAGCTACTTTTCTTCTGATGTTAATTAAAATTCCTCTCCAGCATGTGGGAACAAAGCTGCTTTAGGGATATACTAAAGTCCTTACTCAGAATTTGTGTCTGTAACCTAAGCATGAATGAACTAAGTGTACCCTCCTCCTCCTCTCCTCAGGCTCTCTGGCAAGTAAAATTCGTCGCAGGGACACTCTTGCTATCAAACTTGGCAACAGACCATCTAAGAAAGAATTGGAAGACAAAAACATCTTGCAGCGTACATCTGAAGAGGAGAGGCAGGAAATCAGACATCAGATTGGAACGAAGCTAGTGAGGTATCTGTTGCAGCGTAAACGTGTTTTCACTAAGAGGAGGTGAGGCAAGAGACTCAAGAACATTGGGATCACATTTTAAATTCGGCCTGATACATGCTGCAGGATCTTCATGGTAGAACTTGCTGGAGAACAATATTTTTATTTCTCACAAAGTTTTTGTTCTTTATGAAATAAAACTTAGAGCTTCTGAAATGTTAAGAAAAGAGGAAGAGAATAAGACTTAGTCCAGAACAACCAATACGATGGTTCAAGCTTCTCCTCAAAACTGGCTGCTTGGGGCTTGAACTTGTATATCCCCATCTCAGATGAGAGCTGTAGTTCCTGGCATATAGAGTCTCTCTTTGTATCTTCTTTTCTTCTGTCCCTCCCCATCCTCCTCCTGCTCTTTAAATGTTTAATTATTCATATACTGGTTCCAACAAAAGAAACTAACAGAGACTGACTTTGTAGACCTGGGTTTAGTGTGCTCATCTCTGAGCCATGTCATGCTCTTAACCGCTATAGGATATGCGCTACGCTCTCTTTCCGGACTGGAGAACGTTTCATGAAAACCAGCTAGTTTTGACTTGTATTTTCCAAGAATTTTGTTAAAAATTTCTTCACCAATATTAATTCGGGCTCTCATAATTCCTTGAGAATAGACTACAGTATCTCTACATTTTCCCAGACCTGCCCTTTTCTCTTGTGCCCAGAAATATTGTCCAGACAGATTTGGAGGATGTCCTGTGTTTGTTAGGGATTTCCACATATTTGGTAGTCCGGTCAGTACTATTGCAGTACAGAAGTACAGAAGCCCTATATCAGCGCTTAGAACATCATTCTGTGAATTGCATAGCTCGCTAAATAATTTTATTTAATTTCTTAACATGCATCTATTGTGTAGAATCCATGGGCCATTTTTCCTCTACTAATAAAGCAGCATGGTTGTTATCACTGATTTCCTGACCAAATTCCAGCTCTGGTAATCACATCCTGCTTATCTGTCTTTCTTTCTGTGGCTTAAACTGAACAAACTGTTCTTTGATTCCTGTCTTAAACTGTCTTGTGTAACATTGCTGGTTCTGCAAGCGAGCTGGCACATTCACCACATCATAGTAGTATTTGGATGACGGGCAGTAATATACCTGGGTCAACTTCAGGACCCCCCTCACAGAGTTTATGATGTGAGTTACAATTTCCGAATTGTGTTCATGTCTGAAATCACAACCAAGTTTAGTGCATGTTCTTTTAAAACTCATAATGTTGTAGTCAGCACCTGGCAGCATAAAGATCTGATTCAAAACTTACTGAAACTAATGGAAATCTTTCCCATAGTTCAGTTAGTGTGGGATCAGGTCTTAATTTTGGAATTTCCTACAATGTGGGATTGACCACTTGTTTTATACCTGCCTGTCTTTTCTTCAAAATCTAAAAATCACAAGTATACAATGGAAGCTTTGTACATAATTTGATCTGGTGTTCGAGCTGTTTTTAAAAGACAGTCCAGTGTTACAGCAGTTCTTTGCCAGAACTCCCCCACAGCGTGACTGAAAACCACTCTCTCCATAGCTGTGTTTTCCTCACCTGCTTTCCTCTCTAGAAAGTCCACGCTTCAAAGCTCAGCTCCCTAGTCCCATTTCATGGCCTGCCACCCTGTCTCCTCTGCTGGCACCCATGCCACCTGCATCTTCCCCTTTGTCTCTGAAGGTCACAGACATGCTAAGGGTTCTCAGAGCGTGGCTTGAATTGGATGGGTTTCATGAGGCCAAAGATAACCTGTAGTTAATCGTGCGAAGTTGCACTGGATGGAGAGGCTGCCTTTTGGGACTTTCAGCTCTAAGACAGGTGCAAAATTAATTTTACTGGTGTAATTCCTTCTTGCTCCTTTTCAGCCCCAGATGAACTTGCTTAGTAAACATAAAGCCAAAACTAGCCATGTTCTCCACTATACAAATAACTAAAAAAAGGAAGTTTTGATTAAAACTCCACAATTTTAATGTGTGTAGCAGCTGGTAAGGAAAATGCATCTGTTGATTGTTTTTAAAAAAACAGACCCAAAATGAATAGGATTTACATTCAGAATATCAGCTGTGTTTGCACAGCTTATTATAATTATAATGCATAGGGAAAAAAAGTTTTATGAGCTCTTCCATAAAATTATATTTGTAAGTGGGGAGTTAAAATTTGCTGGCACTGTTTCTGTGGTATTACGCAAGTGTCAATCACTTTTGTGTTCAAATGGCAATAGTACAGGTATTAAAACGAATGCCCACTCAGTACTGAGGTTACATGTACACACACACAACTGTGTCTGGAAATTACCTGTGTAATTGAATACCTCTGTTGGAAAAGAATAGCATGGCTACATGAGAAACACCATTTAAGCTGTATTACAAATCATAAGATTTTATTTGGTTTAATTGGTCTGGTTTTAAATTAGTTGCTTGCTCTGTTCTCACAGGAGACTTAGCCAGAGGCCTACAACTGAAGAGCTAGAGCAAAGAAATATCCTAAAGCGTAAGTGTTTTATGCAAATTTAAACTACTGTTTACTTAGAAAGAGAGCACAAGATATGTTGGACTCATCTGGAAGCCTGATCATTGTTACTCTACTGTTAGTTTCATAATGGGACAGAAATGATGCTCTAGAAAATAACACATCAACGCTAGACCTATGTGTTAACTTGTAATGGCAGCTATGAGGGCTGCATATATTCAAGGTGCTAAATTTTCCTGGTCACAATCCCAATTCTTGGAGCTGGTTGCATAGACTAGGAATGAATTAGATACTCCTTAGAAGTAGTTCTAGGCCGTTTAAAGTTCCACTAATTGTTACGAGGGGGAAGAAGGAGTATCAGGAGGAGGTGGGATACAAGGGATGGTGAAGTAGAAAGCGGAAAGATGAAGTGTTCGCAGAGAGTGAATAGGTATGTGCCAGCTACTTGAGTATGTTGGCCTTCATATAGCCTCTTCACATAAATGTGTTTGTCTTCTTCCTTACTGAAACCTGCACAGGATATCCTCACTGAGCATCTTCCTACTGGTGAAAGAAATCCTTCCTCAATGTCGTTGATGAAAAAGTTGAACCCGTAATTCAAATAGTCAGGGGCAGAGGAATGGAGAACATTGGATGTAAACCTACTATACCTACTCGCCAATTTATTTACATTGCTTTTGTTCTTAGGCTGGCAAACTCTTTAGAACAGGCGTTTTTTGTCTTCCTTTATGAATGTGTCCATAATATGTATGTTACCTAAAAACGTTCTTTAAAAACTGTCATGGCCAGCTCCTTCTGTCCCTATGTCTTTTCTGCAAGGGTGGCTAGTAGTTGATGCTTAGGTAGAAATATAAGAAATAAATGATAATAGTATTTACAAGGAAGCAAATCCACGTGGAAGCCTTTCACACATAGCAGCCAATCCAAAATAGCACGTATTCTTAAAGTATAAGAACTTTTCACATTGATGTAGTTGAAAGAGCTGTAACATTGTCATTTCTGGCAATTGTTCAGTAAAGATGGAGTTCATTCCGTTGTGCACAGCATACTGATGGAGGAGACGGAAATGGGTTGTTTACCTGGCAAAATCCATGGACTGATGACAACAGCATCACCTGCTCAGAATAGCAAATCAAGGAGAAATAACAGTTATTGCTCTCAAAAGCCAAATAACGCCACGTTTTAGCTGAAAAGGGGAAGCTACAGTTTTGGCACTATGGTGCGTGGGAGAGGGTTTAAGGAACTCCTGTCCAATACATAACCTGAATAGACTTTTTAAGGGCGTAATTTCAAAAGCTATATATCACATAGTTGTAATAAAGATACAGTGTGAAACACAAATGTATTTTATATGATAAACAGCACATGCTGGACCACGTGACAGTGGTAATTCCAAGACACGTTTGGTGGTCATGGCTACCGCCACTGAGCTGGGAACACCAGCTGGGCTTCCCTGCCACAATCTCTAGATAGCTAAGCTCTAGACAGCTAATCTAGCAACACACCTGTAATCTATTTAAAATCACCTTTGCTATTTACTACTTTTGCAATGAGTAGCTCAAAATTTGGAAGCAGTTAATAGATTTCTTCTCCTGTTTCAGCTTGTTTACTTTATGCTTTTGGCAACACTTTGCGGTCAGTATCTCTTCACTGTTCTTCTTGTCTGTAGCTGCTGCATCGGTGAGTCTGTCTTAAAGGAGCAAGGGAGAATTAAAAATAACTGTGGGAAAACAGAATTATTATAAATTACAAAAAATAGCAGAATAATTGACGAGACCATGTAGAATCCCCAACTGCTTTTTGCTTATTACTGTCATATAGAACATTTCAAGTTAAGAGTCATCCTAAAATAACAAAGAAAAAAAAGCCACTGTTTTTGGTGACAGTCTAACTCAGAGCCCTTTGACATTGCAGGTTCTCTCAGCTCTTAAAGCATTTGTGTATTTAGCACAATTATTACATTCCCTTCCTGTGGATCATTTGAAAATGTTTACGTCTTCTAAATGCCTGCGTTGCTGTAGGCAACTTTTGTGAATAAGTTGGGATTCATTTCATGAAGCTTCGTTCCTTCTATTTTTAATCAGTGGATGGGGAGAAGGGATTATATTACTGCATATATGTAAACTACAACTAAGGGAAATTAGTGTTTTGATAATATTTATCAGACTTTGAGGATAAACTAAGCGACAAAGATCTAAATGTTTATTTCAGAATTAAGTCCAGCCCAAATCTTCTAGGAGGTTCAGAAAAAGTCACTATTTTTTTCTTTTTTTTCTCTTTTTTTTTTTTTTTGCATTTCCAGTTAAAGTGAGGAAATACGTGTTACAAGAATCTTATTTTGATAATATTTCCAGATAAACCACCAGTTACTGAAAATCCTGTGACTGAGTTTAATCACTAGGCTGACTTCTATAAAAACAATTTGGGATAAAAGCATCCAAGACTTCTGATTCTTTCCACACAAAAACAAAGAAGTTAGGATAACTCAGTAGTCACTTGAAGGAATAGATAAAGTCCCAGGTTTTACACAGACAGATTTCTTGTGTACTGCCTTTGAGCTAATAGTATTTATAGTATTGTATTATGACAGAGAAACTTTATACTCTTCTGGGAATTTCAGATTAAGGTAACTGTATTTTTTCCTGTATCTCTTAAGGACAGTGAACTTCTTGGACTGTACACCTGCATGCTTGCCAATACTAGCTTAGCAGAAAACATGGTTTAGCTCTTGGTGCTAGTTAAGGAATATTAATGATTATCTTTGTTTGTAAAATGAAGAAAGAGAAACTGCTTTTTGCGTTCCATAGCATTCCAAGAGGCAAGTACTTTGTTTGTCTTTTATTTTTCTTTCCCTAGCAAGCCTACAGAGAAGTCTAAACATAGTTAATCCCCATAGGGACGCAGTGGAAAGTTCACTTTTATGCTCCTGGAGTACTTTCTGGTAAAAAACAGAATAGTCCTAAGGCAGAGCAGTTTCCCTTTTCTCTTTCTCCCCTTCTGTTATGAAACAAGTGTCCAACAGAAGTAGAAGAGGACCATATTTAATATGGCAAAACTTGCAGCAGCAATAAAGGTATAGGTGCCAGGGGAAGCTATTTGTTCCGCTTTGGTTGTTGGATTTTTTAACTCCAAGGACGTGATAAGTGATACTAAATAAAACTCTTTTAGTTAGGAGCCAAATCCTGGTTCGACCTGTGTGCTCATGCAGCTCTTAGGACTCTTGTAAGCAAAAGGAGATTGCTCAGCTGGTCCTTTGCCAGTATAGCAGCAGCAGGACATCTGAGGAGGGGACTTGCAGCTGAAAATGCTACGCTCTTATTTTCTTTCTCCACATCATACAGATTAGATCTGCTTTTAAGGCGGAAAGCAGTCAGAAATGTGTTTCTGTGCATTAATGTTTTGCTGTTTCAGCAAGTCAGTTCATACCTGCAGCTAATATTTGGCACTTTAGGCGGGATTTTCCACAATACCCAAAGGAACAAGGAGCACCAGAACCATTATTTTTAGCAGCACACATATTCTTAAATCACTACAGCAACTTTCAGAACTTTCACCTTACAGGAACAAAAATACCTGATAGGTATTATTGTTGGTAAGAATTTGCGTCAGGGCAGCGTTTCTGTAACCAGCTTAAAACACCATTCTACTCAGCAGTAGAGAGCAGTTTGGAGATTTGAAATAGGTGTTCTAGGTATGAGGGAAGAGTGGCCAGGGCCATAAGTGAGGGGCCAGTCTGCCACATTCAGGTTAAGAATATTAGCAGTGAGAATATTGCCAAGTTCAGATTCAGAACATTAGCAGCAACCACCAGATTTCAGTCCCTTTTCTTTAGCTCTTGAGTTTTATTTCTCAAAATAAAAAAATTCAATATATAAACCATGTCCTTTGCCCTGACCTCTCATGCAGAGGACTCACCTTTCCCCACGGGTTTAATCCCCACCTTGTCTGCCTGGAAGTGAAGGAAGTTGCTGCTGCCTTCAGTGGGAGCTTTCCTCTGCAAAACTGGCTTCCAGTCTTCCTTGCCAGCTTCCTCTGGGCTATGTGTGCCCACACCCACTGCCCAGCTGCTAAGATGACTTTCTTGCTCATCATCTCTTTCCACCACTTTTCCTGAATCCAGCCTTCCCATAGCTCAATAATGGAATGCTGGGTTTGCAACTTAACAGTGGTGTAACTTCACAACTTGGGATAGGCAGCTAATCTTCAGCCTTCTTAAATGACCAGATCAACTTTTTTGAGTTATTTATTCTCCCAAAACACTAGAGAAATAGTATTTCAGGTGTGCCAAGCTGTTAACAGGTGTTTCTTATGATACAAATTAAGCACTGTGGGCTACTGTTTCTTACCTCAAGCTTCTTATTGCTGCTTCTTAGGAGATGCAGTGATTTAGATAGCAAAGAAACGTCAAGATAGGACTAGTCAAGAGTATATTTTACAAGCAAAATTAAAGAAAATTCTGTACAGTGATGTGTGTATTCAGTTACATTTTTTTCTGTTGTGTCTGCTACTGGAGAATTTCTGAGAGGTGGGACTTAAGAGACCCTGTTCATGGAAAGGACAGAATTTTTTTTACGTGAAACAAATCCCATGTGAATGGAGACTGAATGAACAGGTTGTATTAATTACCTCAGATACTACGTTTATTGATTGCGAAGACAGCATATTTAAAGAAAAGTCAGTATCCTACAGATTATTGTAACTGTCCTAAAACAGCTAGAGAGCTTATGGTTTGGTTACGTAAAAATGCCATGTAAAGAGTTCTCACTTAAAGTCGTAAGTGCCCAAGTATGGCCAGCTTGTTTATTGATAGAAGTATTAGTACAAATTAAAAAAAAAATTAGATTAATCTTTAATTCTCCATTCTTTCTGTTTTATTCAGTTTATGGTTTCTCTGGAAGAAATAGATTATCTGTTTCTTCAGGATTTAAGAGAAAAGACCATAAATAATAGACCATAAATTACATTCACATTTCAGTATCTCAGTAAAATCAGCATCGAGAATAGATCCAACCTGGCAGCAAGTCTACAAGATTGGAACTTGCCAATGGAAATCTGAAGCTGATGTTAAAATCTTGTGGGGCAGCGCTTGCACTGGCATTAGCTTTTTCTTACTGTAACTTTCCTCTCTTTGTTATTATGTTGTTATATCAATCGTTCCTCTTCCCTTTTCCCTCATGTTCCTCTTGCAGGAATGACTGTGGGTCATGAAAGGAAATCTGCAAGTACCGTGGGGGGATCTGTCTTCAGTGTTACCTCTGTATCTATGGAGGAGACAGAAATAGAGTGTAACAGTCATGAGTTCAAGGCTGAAGCTACCTTCAGACTCCTTTTGGCCAAGCTGCGTGTACTAACACAGCAGGTTGGCCATAGCAGACAGGGCAAATAATATTAGACTGGGATTTAATACTGCCTTTTCATCTGTACAATTTGGCCATGCCCACAATAGACAAATGAAGTCCCTTTATGTTTATAGTTGGCCTTGAACCACAGCTTGGAATCCATAGCCTCCAACCTTGAAGAAAACAGGCTCAGAATTTTACAAACAGTTCTAGGTGGTGTGTTTCAGCCACAACAAAGTTAAACTTAGACATGAGCATCAGAGGTGGACTGATAAGGCAAATAATATTCTTCAAAGCATACATCAATTTGAGAAAATGCTGAGTCCATATGACTGTGCCTTTGTAAGTTTACTTTTCACTGACACTCAAGAAATCAAATTTGGTTAGCCCAGAAATTTATAAAGGTTGCAGCTGCATGCCCTAATACTTGCGGAAAATGCACATGTAATTATTTGCCTTATCTTTTCAGGGCACAGAAATTGTACGTGGCATTTCATCTAGTTAGTCGCCCTCAACTAAGAGGACCTGAGTACTGAATACTTCAGTTCATATACTTGCATTAAAAAATCAGAAATAAAAAAATCTAAAGTGACAGAAACATAGAAACATTTTGCACTAAAATCTGACTGCAAAAATTTGTTTCATTGTATTCTGTAGCAGTAGAGGACACCAGGCTGATTCAGATACTCAGAGCAAACATTTTTTTCTCAGCACTTGCAAGCGCTGTTAGACTCTTAGTCTAAAGTCAATAAATGGCATGCTGGAAGTGACTGTGATGTCAGGACAAGTAACTGAAATGTTAGATAGCTCTTTCAGGGTACTTCTTAATTGTTGTTATACAGGAAGGAAATGACAGCAGCTTTCTTTTTGCTATGTTCCTGGCCATGGGGGTGACTCTAGATGTCTATAGAACTGGGGGAAATGAGGATAGGGAAAAGAAATGAGAGCACACAAAATCCAAAAAGGAGGGATTACATTCAGCATAGCCCAGAAACGTGACCGAACATAGGCCGTGACTTTAAGACCTGAAGCTTTCAGCCAAGAGAAATACAGTGTGTGCAGTTACAGTGCTTAAACGTTCATTCCTTTGTATCTCTTCTAAAAACAGAGAAGAATGAAGAAGAGGAACAGGAAGCCAAAAGAGAAATAAAACGGAAACTCAGTAGAAAGGTGATGATGTGTTTTTTGTGTTGTATATTTGTGTACATAGTAAAACACTAAGATTATTTTTTATGAGATTCTAAAATTCAGTGTATATGTATTACTGCAAATCTCCATCAGTCATATTTCAAAGGCGGTGCAAGACAAATCGTCCTTGGGGGAAACTCCAGTCCAGTTTCCCACACTTGAGAAAACATAGGGGAGTCTGGCCATGCTTACCTTTTGTCTGTGTGAGCAGGAGAAAGAAATGACAGGCTAGTTTCTTCTCTGAGCATGACCACTGCTGTCATATATGTTTGGGGGCAGTCAAACGCATAGATCCAGTCTTCCCTAGAACACCAGATTTCCCGGCAACGGAGAGGACCAAAAAGCAGTGTGTCCCTAAAGAAATCCCTTCACCGTTCTCCTAGCCACAAGTCAGTAGGCTTGGCTGCTCCCAGGGAGATTACATGCCTCATTCTGCCTATAAATAAAGCAGCGGATATGCTGCTCTGACTTTTGGGGGCAGTTCTGGGATAATATCGTATGGGGGATAATATCGTTAAGTCTTCCTAGTCTGCCCTTCTCTGCAAAAATACATTGGCAGTATCTTGTTTGCGTAATATGATGGTCCTTAGTTAATTAAAGTGAATGTTGTTTGAGGTGACTGAAAACATGTAGTTGGGCATCCTAATCCTAAAGATAGACTCTCAGTTATTCCCCCCACAAAATCTGTTTTTCAGTTAGACGTACCCTTCCAAATGCTGACTATTTTCTGTATTATAATTGAACACAGCAGACTGTGTAATTGTTGACACAAATAGATCTATTGTCTACTGGGGTAAATAGTATGACGGTTGCAAAGTCACAATTAATATTCCAGGGATAACTGTCAAGATTCTTTATGACCTGCCTGATAAAGACTATTTTTATAACTGAAGAAATTAGGTTGTGCTGCTTCCCCATTCCTGTGCTGCACTCCCAGGTTGGTGCCTTTTTTTAGACACCTGAAAGTGACCTTATTTAGAAATACCATTGAAGTTCTCTTGAGATCGTATCATTTCCTCAGCTTTTATTTTATTTTATTTTGTCTTATTAAACTCACTATTTTCTGCCTCCCACTTACAGCTCAGCCTGAGGCCTACAGTGGCTGAACTTCAGGCAAGAAGAATCCTACGATTTAATGAATACGTGGAGGTCACGGATTCTCCAGATTATGACCGTCGTGCAGACAAGCCTTGGGCCAGGTTAACTCCCGCAGACAAGGCAAGGGACAGATGTAGATTATAAGAAAGTTCTTACATCTTTCATTTTCAGGAGGGTTTCCTCCGATCTGCATTCTCTCGATGTGGGCATCATGAATGACATCTGCTGGAGGCAGTGAGATTGTCATGGAACGGTGCATTTATTGCCTGCAGCTAAGAGAAACCACTCATATCTATTAAGAGTGTATTTGCCAGGACCGTTACAGCAAAAAAAAAGAAAGCTGTAGGATTTCTATATCAGAAAGTGCTGGCCCTTTAACTACTGGTTTTGACCCAGATTTTATGGAAATCCTGTGACATGTTCTTGGCATGGAAAGTGATATGTGCAAGAACCCATTGTCTTTTAGCTGAGGACTGTGAAGCACTGATTTTATTTCCACTTGTATTTTAGTATTAATGCCAGTTAACATTTGACGATCAGAGAACAACGCCATGTCAAGTCAAGACGGAGACATTAAAAATGTTCCCAGTGTTATTGCTGGGTTTCAGCTCTGGGAGGGGCCGAGGACTCTCTAGTCCTCACGTAGTTAAGTGGGAGGTCAGGGCACCTGGCACCTCACCCTTTGACCTACGTTGATCTTTCCAAAGCTAGGTTGATCTTTCCAGAAACCAGCACAAACTGCACTAGAACAAGCAGTGGGGCTGCCTATCTAGTTTAGGAGTGGCAGTTTTTATTCTCAGACAGTTTTGTAATGATCAGGTGTCCCAGATTGCTTCTGATCCCCATGCCTGTTGGTCTCAGCAGAAAGCCAAAGGTTGCCTAGAAACTCCATTTTTTTCCCAAGGAGATAAATTTTTCTAGTTCTAATGGGAGCAGAAAACTCTACTGTAATAATGTTATGGAGTGGGAGCTCTGGTGTCTTTGCTGCTGATACTCCCTTCAAGAACAACTCTCTCTTTTGTAGCTGTTACAGTAGCTTTGTGCACGCATGCTGTTGTGGCTAAACAGAACCATACCCTGCTTAAAATGAAGTTTCTGATTTATGAGACTTCAGTCTGGTGATGCTGTAATTTTATCATGCTGCGCATCTATTCTACATTGAACGGAATGCACACCAGATGAGATTTATTTAAGGATTAATGAAATGATACCACTTTTATTTAAAATGATGAAAGAAGAAAGGGGAGTGAGAAAGAATAAATTGGCATTTCATTAACAGTGAAGGTAGCAAGGCATATGTCATAGAAAGCAAAAGCTCTTCTACTATATTAAAATTTTTCAGAAATTACATCTTTTACCTGATGAAGTAAATTGATTATCGCTCTTTTAACATGAGCAACAAAGACTGACTTTTACAAAGTGCACTGAATTTCTGCTGTTCTTTAGTATCTGCCAATTGAAAACACAAGCTTGAAATATCCAAATATTTCATGTCATTTTACGTAAAACTGATCAAACAAAGTGACTAATTCCCACTTGAAAAGTGGTATTCAGCTTGCATTCCTGAAGTCCTGTCTCCACTCAGGAGATACAAGGATCCTGCTGTTTGTCCAATTACTATGCAAGAAATGTGACTCACTGGCCCCTTTGGGGCTGTGCATGGAGATAATCCCCTTGCAGATGCATACTGAACAGGTGACTGTCAAGGTAACAGAATGCCTTTCCCTATTTTGTCTGTAGCTAAAGTGCCATATTTCAGTGGGAGAGGAGGGGTTCATCCAAGCCAGTTAAGTTTTGTTTTTCTCTCTTTATTGTTGTCTGATGCTTTGGGTTTCTTTCTAATGTATTACTGCTTCAAATAACTGTAATTTTAAAAAGCCATTCAATGTGTATGATCAGAAGTGTGTGAGAACGGTGGACTACATTGAGGGTGACTGGAAAACAGTAACTACAGGGGGATCTGCAAGAGTAGGCTCAGGCTCCTCTCAGATTCTTTAATTTCCTAAAGATTCATATTCCTTACGGTTGTGTATATCATTACTGTTTATTAGGCAGCAATACGGAAAGAACTAAACGAATTTAAAAGCACAGAAATGGAAGTACATGAGGAAAGCCGGCAATTTACCAGGTGGGTGAATCCATTTTTTTTGAGTAAGTCAGAGCGTGACAACTACGCTCTGCCTTTCTTGCACATCCTCTGCAGTTGTGTTGTGATTCCCTGAACTGATTCCTGCTTTGAATCCCCCGAATCCTTGAATCCCACCACTGACTGTGGCGGGATTCCCAGTGCTGCTGATGTGATCCCTAAAACTGGGTAGTTGATACAGTAGTGAAGGTGACTTCCGTGGATCTCTTGCTAAATGGAAAAAGATTGTTTATGAAATCTAAAAAATAATCCTTTCAGTGAACTTGGCATTTCTCCCAGATGAAATTAACAGTCCTCAAGCACAGAATGGGATGTCATGCTCCTGCAAAACTCCCTTGCTAATGAAGATATACATTTTTGTCATTGCATTTGGTAAGTGAAATCTAAATGATGTACGGAGCTTCAGAAAAGCTCATCACTATTCTGGCTGCTTCCTAACATTCCCCTAGACTCCTGGCAGCAGTTTCTGGGGAATGTGACAAATTCTAATATTCTTTGTTTGACTCTTGTAGTATTTTAGTCTGGATTTGTTTCGCTGTCTGAACACAAAGGTGTTGTTCAAAGCATTATTATTTTTTAAGAGCTCTAAAGTTTCCACAGTTCCACAGTAGCAGGACTTCAGTATTTGGAAGGGTTGCTCCTAGGAGGTGCTTTCTGCCATGCCCATGAAATTTGTTCATACCCATTAAAGTTACAAAGGCCAAAAATTGCCACTAGCAAGCAGAACTTGCTGTTAGAATCAGCCAGCATTGCATACATCGTATTATGGTCTTCACATCTGCACAGAATTAAATCTTCAGATAAGTCAGATACCAGAAATTGCTCTAGACTAGGTCCCTTTATGTTCTTGCTACTGTTTCAGTCAAAATTATGGTCCCAGCCGGTGAGTAGTTGTAATTAAAGACAGTGTTATAGTGCAAATTCACACGTGGATTTGGTGATCTCTGGTGTTTCCTAATTCAGTGCTTGATCTCATAACTCTGACAATGTTTTTTTTCCCAAAACATGTATTCTTGATAATGACATATACCCACTTCAGGGAAGTTGTAACACGAATAAATTAATTCTCAAAAAATCAAACCAGTTTCACAGATGGAAAATTGAGCTAGGGAATAGAACAGGAGGCATAATTTTAATCTAGTGTTGCATTCTAACTACTAGAAAATGTCCTTTTCAAATATGGATTTGCATGTTTTCATTTGGCTTCTGTTGTCATTTTCTCTTCAGGGTAGGTAATATATCTTCTTTGGGACATAAAAAATATTCTTTTAAAAAAATGGGCTACACAAGAGAGGGAAGGAAATGTAACAGAGAGAGATTTCTGTCTGAGAGAGATGGAATGCATCCCCTTGCCTAAGTTAAGGTTTTTGAGTTGCATTGCAATATAGGATCATAAATGCATACAGACATGAGTCATACAAAAATAACTAGTTTTTTTGTTTTCACTAGAACTGAAAAAGTTGAAACTGATTACAGTTGGATTCTTGAAAGATGAACCAAAAGTCTCAGGTGTCCAACTGAATGATAAACCAGTTAAAAAGTGAAAACTTTTTTTGAGGAAGGGCTTGGGAAATAGGCTCAAAAATGGGCATAGCCAGGTTGCGATAAATACAGGTGATGCTATTAAAGGATCCTGGAGGAATTTCAACTTGAGGAAAATGGGACTCCCTCTGTTCCCTCCCACCCTTTTTTTCACTGGCCATGTTGTGGAACCACTGCACAGAGGTCAGTAGAGTGACACTAGAGAAAGCCCATTAAGGGTATAATTAGATGCAGATGTTTTAAGTCAGTCACAATTTTGAAAATAAAAGGAGGGATTCTCTTTCCTAGTGGTGAACTAGTTCACCGCTACAACAGAAGTACGAGTTGTTTTAAGGAAACAATAGAAAAAAGTCTGTGGCCAGAGGATGAATTACTCGTTACTCAAAATTTGTTAAGAGGGATCACCGAGGTAATACATACTGAAAGGCCGCTGCCCTGGCAGCTGGTTATAAAAGGTTTATTCATGAAGTTCTGTGATAGAATGAGACAATAAGGAAGCTGCTTATTAAACAAAAACAGCTTATAACATAGTTTATTAGATTAGATAATTATATAATAACCAATATAAGAAGCTCTATTATTATAAACTGTTTTTACAGTACCTTTGAATTTTTCAAATTGGATATTAAACTTTGGAAAGAAAAAACACTGGTTTTCATCATTCATTGTTTACTGTAATGACTATTAGATGAACTGTTTTTCTCCTCCTCGTAATTTAGATTTATTTGTTCTGTTATTTCATAACAGAATCCAAGAAACTGAGTTTCTAAAAACAAATACAAGTTCGGGGAAAGGATATTAGTAGATGTTAATAAAGTGCTTCTAGTGGAAATGCTATATATAGTCAAATACAATGTTGTTCTACACAAATAAAAATACACGAGTCTTTGTTGCAATGTACTGTACCCTTACTCATCAGTCCAGCTGCCTACTTGTAAATAGCAGCTTTTGCATACACCTCCTTTGTTTACTTGAAAAGTGCACCTTCGTATTGTACTGTACCGCACTAGTGCGGTAACGTGTGGCTCATTTTCTTTCCTCTTCTCTGGAACTATTAAGAGAAAATGTGTCAAACAAAAACTTACAGAATCCTACTGAGACAGGTGCATCATTACCCATTACCCATGTTTTAAAGTTGCTGCATCTTTTACTCCTTCATGGCTGCATGTACTTTTAAAACCATATAAACAGAGATTTAGAAGTTGGGTGATATATGATCACCTGATGCTGGTGCTCACCTTACTCTCTTGCTTAGATTCACTATTTAAGCTGAGTCAGAATTTCAGTTGCTCTAGGCTCCTACCTCATCCTAGAAAAGGTTGATGACACCCTTTGGAGCAACCTACCCCCCTCTCTCTGTTGATCCATTAGGGAGTCTGGAGTGATGTATATGCCTTACCTAAAAAATGGCAAAACGTATTTGGGTCTTCATTTGTCACAGTTGGCTGCTGCTAATAAGAAGGAAAGCATCTGCAGTTCTTTAAAACCTTTCACTTGAAGACCTAAAAAGAATTTTGTTTGCAGAAAGATTAAAAACCAGCAAGTTAAGTTTCATTGCTTAGCAAAGCTTTCCTGATTCCCAGAGAGTGGTGCCAAATAGTAGGCACAACGTAGCTAAATCCAAATTCATAAACAAAAGAGACTGGAGAGTCTCCTCCAGTCCAACAGGCCTGGAACAGCTTGACAGTTAACCTCTTCCTCCTCCCCCCAGAACAGGGGGATCACCGCCATCACCACCACCACTCCATATCCGGTCTGCCTATTGGCCTGTGCTAATCCCAGTTGTGCGCAGGCAGTGTCTGTCTGGAAGAGTGCTGGTTGACCTAAGCAAACTGCTAGGGACCATGCTAGGGTTCAATGGGAGGGACAGTCATATACCCATGCCTGAGCTATACCATAGCCCTATTTGGTTTACTAGTAGAGAGAAAAAGGCAGAGAGGGATACTAGGGCTGACTCTGATCCCACTTACACCAGGAAAATCAGGCCACAAAAGTAAACAGCTATGAGAGCAGAATCAGGATCAGTGTCATTATCAGTTGAAATAATATAATTTTACATTTTTAAATGATTTATCATTTCAGGTTTCATCGTCCATAATTTTTGACCACATCCCATATTTCATATAACAATTTTCTTTGGGGAAATCATTGCGTCCTGAAGACCGGAGATTGCACTGGAACTTGACTGAGTGTGAGTGTGTGTTGCAGCTTACCCTGAGGTTAATGAAGGATGTGGCCCTCATCTTTTATCAGTGAACAAAAGATTTGACCAGAAGGTGAAACCATGTGACGTGTTCATTTTAACTAAGAAATATCCCAGTGTTAAGAAAGACCATGGTTCTGTTGCTAGCCCATAAAGACAAGTTGATGGTCTTTTTCATCGGCGTTTGACAAGTCAGGAAGAGCTGAAGACAATCGTTTGAGAGCCTGTTACCAGGAACTCATCAGACTTTATAGCATTGTGATTGAGGGTAACTGAGTGGGGGAAGAGTAAAAAGGACTGAGAGAGTGCAGGATGAGAGACTTCACTTGTCAGTCAAGAGAAAAAAGTGGAATGGATGGAACTGTTACTGATATATGTGGCCAGTGGGAGGAATTTTTTTTTTTTTTTTTGTTAAATCTGAGAGTATGAGCAACTGTGCATGTATGTTTTTAGTGGCCGCAGCCTGTCTTAGCAAGATAGCAAGCCACAAGTCCTCATATCATCAGTACTTTAGCGAAGAACTGTAATTTTCTCTGTTGCCAGTAAACCCAGTTGCCAGAAATTAGTCCTAGTATAACTCAGATGTCTTTTTTTTTTAAATTCTGATGAGCATGCTTCAAGAAAAGACATTGAACATTCATACAGAACAAGTACTTTTCCTTTTCTTTAATGTTGGATACTTTGGATTCTCAGAAATACATAAATAGGATTTGAAGAACAAATAATGTGACAATATGAATGCAATGGAAGAATCCATGTTTAGGAACGCTCCTTTCTGTCACTTGCCATCAAACCAGAGGGATCATTATCCTTCTGACCTATGGCAGGCACTAGTGGCAACTTTGACACCATTCTAGTTTGAATCAAAAATCAGAATTGAAACTGTGCATAAATGTCCTTACTAGTAGGTTTGAGCAGTGATTAATAATGTGACTTTTTAAGTTTAAGAACTGTATTAGATGAGTCTCTTGGACTGCTTTTAGGAAGAACTCAGAGATGCATCAATATGTCTTCAACCAATGGTCTTGTAAAAATTAACAGAAAATCCTTAGAGTGTCTATGGCCTGTTTTTGTTGTGTCTGAAGAATGCTTATTAGAATCATATTTTTTTTATACTATCTTGAAATTGTATATGTGAATACAGTACTATTAAAGTTAAGTGATATGGAGTGTGAAAGGCAATACATGCTTTTTCTAAGTTGGCCCAAAGGCCTATTAAAAAGCCTGTGGCGTTGTTTACACTAAGAAATTCTCTGTCTTGTATTAGCACTTATTTATCCTTTGAATTAATGTACACAACATTTTGGGGGTCCTGGAAATCACATATGCATACATTTAATGCAGTATTACAATATATGCGCTATTTATCCTTTCTAATGTGTGTACATACTACAATTTATTTTTGTCTCTTATGATGTGGCCTGTTTAGTTTTTAATTATGCAGTGTAAGTATTTCTTTTTCAGACAATAAAAGTCTGTGTAGATGTGATTTTTTACCTCAGAACCTGCAATAGATTTTTGTGGAATGTTTTTAGTTTATAAAATTAAAGATTGTTGTCTCAGATGTCAGCCTAAAGGCAGGAAGGCAATTTGGTGGCTAAAATCAGATCTCCCTCTTTACTGATATATCCAGCAACACCAGATTTGCAAGAATTTGGTGGATTATTTCAGTAAAGAGCACTTCAAGTAACAGGAGAGTGCTTTCCAACAGCTGGCATTCTATTTATTTTTAAATAGATTGACAAACCTTTTTTTTAAGAAGATAAGTTTATATGACTATTAGGATCACTTACATTTTAGTAAAAATCCAATGACGTGAAGACCCAAAAATATCAATAACCAAATAAAATACCACCTACATGCTTGTAGCAAAGAAAAAGAACTAGCATCTTCCTCTTTTAATGGAATCAATAAGAGACATTAAGATTGCTTTTGCAGAAAACAATTTAGGTTCTATAATGTCATCATTTTATAAATATAGAAACACCACTTTTACATTAAGGAAGTAATGAAAATGTATACTTTGGCACTAAATTGTACAGAAGTGATCAGGCCATTAGAGTTAGGATTTGTCAGGAATTCTGGCAGAATCCTATTTTTTTATTTTTAGGATTTGAAGAGCAAACTTAAAAACTTATACTAGCACTTAATAAATAGTTCTTCTGCTTAAACTTTTACTTTTTGTTGTTGCCAAATTGAGAAATATTTGTTCAAAATCCTATAAAGGTCAACTATGTGGACTTTGAAGTATAAAACACAGTATTTCACTTCAAAGGAAACAAGTGGAACAATTAAAATAGACCTCAGCGTTGCCTTAATCTCTTTTAAAAATTTGAAAGTAGCCAAGATACTGCAGGTGGAAAAGTAGCTGTTGCAAAGGCAGAATAACAACTTTGACAAAGGTTTTTCTTAGACTCTTAGAGTTCAGTTACTGGGTTGACTTTGCAAGTAGACATTCCTCTGTACTGGGTCTGGAACGTGGATGGCAGGAAACGTGCCAGCTTCTCATATAGGAATTAAAATGCAAAGATGAGAATGCAACTTCTGGCTCTGACTTCTTCAAGCTGCACTTTGCCATAAGACATGAGGGTACACTGGTGAAGAATCACTTACACTTTCCCTATACTCTCCTCCTGTTTTTTAGGGTGGCGTAGATTTTTTTTTTTTTTGAAGTATCCTCTTCCATCCACTGCTAGAGGCAAAACGAGCCTGGATAGAGATGCTGAGCTACTCTTTTATTTTTTATGGACAAGGGTTTTTCCATGATAAATAATCAGATGTATTCTTTGGTCAGCAATTGAGCAAATTACCTAACCAAATTTACCTAACTGGACAAGAAGAGTTTCCTTTATTGAGACTTAGGTAAAAACAATATATTTCCAGAATTGGAACTATCAACTATCCATTGTATCCATGCACACACCTAGAATTGTATATACTATTTTTATACTGTAAATAGCAACTGGCAAGAGAACAGCAGCTGTAAAGTGCTATCCACGCAATAAAAAAGTAATGAGGTTTTGGTATGTCACTATGTTCAATGAAGCAAGCTTGAGCTGCCTGCAGTCGGGTTTCCACTGTATCTCCTGGTCCTCAGTACTGACTATTTCAAATATCTTTTTCAAGTTGCTACAAGAGCTAATTGGAAAGAATATGTCGTGAACCTCACCCTCCATGGTGCTGCACACCTGTTAGCAGGGAAAAATCAGAAGTCCTGAGAAAGTCCTGACTGAGCAATTCTTGAGAAGGAAAAAAAAAAAAAAAAGTTGTAAAAAGAGGCAAGAAAAAATAACACTTTCCATGCAACACCTAATACAATCCAGCTGACAAAAAAAATGGATCAATGTGCTAATTTTTATCGAGTTGGACAATTCATTTAAAACTCTTCTGGAACATGTGACATAGCTTACACATATACCTATGTTCCATAAAGTTACACGTCAACTCAGATGTCTATACCCACACAAAGAGAAAATGAGTATTGCCTGAAGTGGTTGCTAATACGTCACATTTTATTAGCATGATCATGCCCTGCAGCATATTGCTGTAGATGCAAATGAATTGTTCCTTAAACAAATACTAATTCTTCTTTACAAAACAAATTGAAAGAGTTTCAGAATGGCTCTCTGTTCTTTCAGGTAGTACCTATATAGGTCCTTATAATTGAAATTGGATGTTGCAAAAGAAAAAATAATTATTTGAAATTCCTCAAATTGTGATATATGTCTAGACTCAGAAAGTACAAAAAATATTTATGCTCAACACCAGTGATTCAAAATGATGTAGGACCAGGAACAGCATCTCTTCAAAAATCACTGAAAGTCTTCACAGCCATTTGTAGGCCTACAAGATTGTATGTACTTGCTGGATATAGCATTGACCTAGAGATCTGTGTGTCCCTTGCTGTGGCTGACTTTGCTGACCTCTGAAGCGGTGCAGCGCAGTACAGCTCCACCTTCTGCTTTGGTGACACTTTCATCAGCTCTTAGAGAAGCACCACAACCTCAGCTGTTAGCATGTGAAAAACCATATCTGATGACTGCTTTTTTCCTTTTTCCTTTTCCTTGAAAACCAATGAAAGCCATGAAACAGTGAGGAAAAAGTATCTGAAATTACAGAAATTAGACCCCTCCTTCCAGGTGAGATTCTGATTTCTGTTTATGAGTGCTTTGTTTCCCAAGGAGTTGCTTCAAACCCAGATCTCGTGAACAGTAATGTCGCAGCTGTGCCAGAGAACTTGTTTCTAAACAGTTCTCACTTAACCTGATTATAGATATGGTCTGGACCAGTTTTATATCATCAGAAAACGGAAGTAGGATACAGCCAACAGAGATTTAAAACCTGGATCCAATCTGGAGGCCTGGGAACTGACAGAAACCTGGTCATCAACTGCAATCAACGCTGGGTCAAAGCCCATGTTTGTAACCGGATCAGGGACAAATGCACCGTAACCCGGGTATGAGGCAGACGGTACCAGCCGTACAGATCTGGCTGAACACTGCTGGCATTTTAAGCAGCGATTGGAATATGAGCCCATGTCTTAATGTATGTGTTAATGCTTCAATGATAAAATAAATCGAGTTAAAAGCCTACATTTGCATTAAATTGTCAAGCATAGCAAAACGGCATCATTTCACGCTTTCATGTCCTCTGTTTTTATTTGTATCTCGAGTTAAGACTTGTGCCACTGCTGTAAATTAAAATGAAGATATACTCAGGGTGAAAAACAGGATAAACTTGCCTCCTGCCTTCAAGAGCTCCCGGATTTAGCTCCGTTATTGTTGTTATTTTTATCGTACAATGCTCAGTGCAATACTCGCTGCTGGGACCTAGCTTTTGACGGACAAAAAAAGCAATACTGAAATTTGGTGTTAGGTTGACATTAAAATATTCTGAGGATCAAATAAAAAGAAAAATAACCCCCTGGAATAGCTTAAAGCTTCTATTTGGAAACAGTCATCTGAAAAAAATTATGGAAGTGTTATCTATATAGAGAAAAGGAGAGATGGAGTTAAAAATAACATTTCACTGTAATATTTGGACAGAATTCTATTTATTAACTTTAGTGATTAATAAGGTCTTGTTTTATTTTGTCAGTGTTCCCATCTTGTTTCAGGATTTTAATGAAAATAGAGTTCATATGAACTAGGTTTAGCATTTCACCAGTATTCCATTATTTTCTAGAAGCTAAATATTGCATTGGGTAGGAACAAAGAAATGGCATTCTCTGTATCCCCTTGTTCAATCATTCATTCTTTATATAAAAAGTCTTGCAATACTATGTCAAATTTAACCATATTTGAGCATTGTTATAGTACAGTAGAACGTTGCTGAACATACATACCTTCTCTTCCTTTCACGACTTTGTGTGGTGGTATATTAATTTGTAAACTTGTATAAATTTTGGAATTAAAGAAAAACTGTGGTTTGGACAATTATTTCAGCTGGTATGATTTCAAATTAAAAAAAAAGATCTCGATGGTTTGTTTGAATGGGCATCTAAATATATGAGTAGGGGCAAGAAGGGTGCAGAGATGGCCTATTCTAATTACCTGTCACCATTAAAATAGCTCTTAAGATATTTTTTCTAAAAGAGAAGCTGAATTCAATTTACAACAGAATTGTAAATGTAGGAGAGGTATTCGAGCACTGTAGATGACATTTCTGTACATTTGGGAACCGATAGGTTTGTGTCCCTTTCCAGGTCTGTGCAGAACAATTGCTCTAACAGTAAATCATAGCAGTATTAATATGCCGTATTTTATAGATCCAACTGTACCTTAAACACTGGACTTCAAAGAACATGTATTTTCTGTGGCAGAGCTGAAATACACCATGGGTGCTCAGTACTAAGAATCCTTGGGCACATGACTCCTCCCACTCAAGTCTGCAAGGACACCTCTGAGATGACTCCAGTAAGGAGGGCTTGATGATCCAACCACCACAGGTTCCTGGTGCTTAAACTCCAGTGGGATTTTATTAGGGTGCAGTAAAGTCAAGAGGTGCTTATGCACTGAATTTGTTAAAAGAAGGATTGGGGCCATAGTCACCTGAAATTAAATTTTGGTCTTTCTGCCTTTGTAACTTGGATTCATTGGAATTATTTTGCAGTATATAATGAAGTGTCAGCTATCAATAGGCACTGGGCCAGTTCCTGGACTTTTATCGTTTTTATTAATTTGGTAAAAAATAGAAACAAATTGTGCTCAAAGTATCCTGCTTGAATTTCAATAAACGTTCATATTTACGAGTAAAATAAAGTAAACAAAGCTTATGACTTGATTCCCCACTGCCCATCATGCTAGATAGTTACTGATAACTGTAACAAATGGAGGTGAAATGTTACCAGCTTAGAATTGCTGGCGTTTATAAAGCTCACTTTCCACATGCATAAATGACTTTCAAAAGATGTGAGGCTTTGGGGAATCAATACCCCCAACTTTTCAGTTTATGCAGTGTTTATTTTGCATAATAATTATAAAATGAATGCCTCTACTTGTATCTTAGTAACTTGACTTAGAGTGACTGAATACGATAACTTTAAAGAAGCGACTGATCTGATACTGCATTCTACACAGGATATCTGTGAATGTAAATTACAGTAATTGTTACAAATTAATGAGATAAAAACCCAAGAAGCAGCTATCTGCACTGTGGTATATACTTATACACACACACACACACACACAAGTATATTTCAGTATTGTCATCTGAAAAAGAACATGCATTATCTTTTTTATGCAGTACACACATTATGCTTGTGTTTTATGTTTTTACATAACAAGCAAAACATGTGCACTGCCTAGTTGTACAGTACCGTAGGATACTCTGCTGTGCACAATTCCAAGTGCCTTAGAAAACTGTTTAGCTTTTTGAATTACAGATATGAATGAATATATACAAATATAAAATGAAGAAAATTACCTCAATAAAATTGTTCAGAAAATCTTTACAGAAAACATTTCCTTCTTGAATCTGTAGCAAGTACATGGGTGTGTATGATGGAGTAAACTGCAGAGAGCAGTTATTTGTTGGAAGGTGGTCTCCAAAGATTGAATTCAAAGTCACTGCATGCAAATGAAATGAAGGAAGGATCCTGAAACCTTCCTTTTCATCTTGGGAGCCCTTCACACACACCTAGTAGCTCTCTTGGGGGTGGTCTTATTCATGCAGAGGTGTGTTGAAGTGCTGATAGGTTAAAAATACGTAGTGTACTAGCTCAATAGTGCAGAGACCTAGTTTATGCTCCCAACTTCACAAGTTCTGTATTAGTAAATCAAGCAGTTGTTTTCACTAGCTTCAGCAGAATAATGTGATTGACATGAGAACTGAATTAGAATTACACCTACTGCATTTACATGGACAAGACTGATCCGCGCAGCTCAGGGTTCGAACTAGTCTGCAGAATGTCTGCCCATCTTTTAACGTGACAAAGTAACTGGCAATAACTTTCGCTTTGTAGTTATGTAACCAACCATACCTCCTGTTATTGCAAGAACTAATAGCAAAAATATTTAGCATAAGGTTCCTCAAAAGGAAGGCAGATTGTTGATAATGTTAAAGAAATTTAGGCTTTCTGGCCAGATTCTAATCTCTTTTAAACTGAAGTAAATCCAGAGAGAATGAAGTCCAGAAAGTCTACTACATTTACTCAAGGATAATTTAAATTGCAACATAAGCTAGGGTTATTGATATGTCATTTATTCTACATTACTAAACACTTTTCTGGAAAGAACAGTAATATATTTGAACAAAAGCTTGCCTTCTTTTCCTGCTTATTTAGTATTGAAGTATAAATGTTAAGCTTTGGCTTTTAAACCAAATGCCTTCTGAACATCTATTTGGTAATTAAGGCAGCTAAACGTACAAATAATTTCTGTGGATTGCTCCAGTATACTATTGTGTATACAGTATACTCCCTCTGCGGTGGGACCATTCTGATACTGAGCATTCTTCTTCCATAAACGAAATAGAAGTGGTTAGTGAGCTGACCCCCTTTTCTCCCCACCCTCTGTAAATGCTCTTTGTTGACTTGAAACTGCAAGGCATCTCAGCAGAGAACACAGTGAGAGAGTACACCAGTACCAGATGACCTTGTAGGGCTTAGATGAGACTAGAAGTTTAAGTGGAGTCTCCATCTGAGAGACTCCTGCATACATATTTCACATGCAGGTGATACTAAACTCTGAATTTTGAAAGATCAGACATCAGTTGGAAGTAGATGAATCACCCTTAGGTATCAAAAAAGGAGGTACATCAAACACC